ACTGCGATTGAGAAGGTAACGTTAAAATTATTGCGATTGAAATTTTCTTCGTTGCATGTTTACACTTGACGCATGCGGCATTTCTTTGACCTGTGCCCGTCTCTCTTCCCCTCATTGTATTTATTTTCTGTCCTGCCTATTAGGATTATGTTACACTGAGCTCGAGACAGTGAGTAGTGGGAGAAGTGTTGGGATGGTGCAGTGGAAGTAAACCGAACAGATTTCTCTGGAATTTAAGCGAGCATCACTGTACTTTCCGCTACCCCTCATTGGGGGTTATAGTGATTAGGGGTCCATGTATTCATAGAAGTCATACGTTTCTGAAGGATACATTACACAGTGTACATGTCTTTTTTATCTGAAGGGTTTCAAAGATTGGCGGATAAATTTCTTTTGTATAATTTATTGTATTTTTTATAACAGTAGTTTTAAAAGTGTCGCAATCTAAATTAAAAGTATATTAATTATTTCTCTTTTATACTCTAAACTATATACAAAAATTATAGGAAAATTAGTTACATTATCCAAGATGTAGTTACTGTATATACATTATTAATTCGAAGAGCTGTTTTTTAATTTCTCTTCTAAGTTTTTGGGTCTATCGAATAACGGTTCACTGCAATGCGGTTGGTTGTTTATCAAAGGGCGATGCAAAAGACTCGTAAAGCTTTCATATCTCTATTCCGTTCGAGCAAAGCTAGTCGTAACACCTACATACACGTACATACGTCTCGCTGGCTGCACAAACTACAAGGCAAAGTCACGAGGCATGCAGCTATGCACGTGCTGAAGCACGTTTTATCTCTCATTTTCTTCCTTCTTTCTCACGGGACGATGTCTTATGAAATTGCTTAACGATTAGTATACAAGTGTTACAGTTTTTTTTTACTAAACCTGATAACACTTTACGTATGAGCTTCCTCTATCATGTATCACTTGTGAAATAATTCGTGATGTAGTATTTATTTACTCATATATGTATGTGAAACATATTTTATCAATTATGTTTTCAATTTCCTTTGACTTTTATGTTATAAAGTTTTAATTCTTTTAATAGCAAGACAGTGTGATTTACCTTAAGTTCTACGAATCTTGTGATAGTTTCCGTTTAAATAGATATCTTAATTAACACCATTTCTATCGAAGATGTCAAAAGGAGGCATCTTTCAAAATTGTAACTTATAATCATTTTCTTAGTTTAATCATTGTTTTTCAATTGAATTTTGGACATTTCCTATAGTTAATTTTATAATCCTTATTGGAAATGTCGAAAAGTCAATACAGAATATACAACTAAACTTGGAAAATAATTTTACGTTAACATTTCAAGAGCTGTCTTTTGAAACCTTCGGTAGAAATAGTGTTAATCAATATGTAAATTTAGTACTAATAATTTTTATAAATTACACTTATTATCGTCATCATTTTATCTTATTTTATTATCAGGTTTAAATGTGACTTTGGTAATCTTGTTATTAAAAAACTGAATTTTATATATTAAAAATTTCTTTCCATTATTCTCGCATGAGTATTTAGAAAATATGATATTCACGTAAATTTTCAATGCAATAATTCGATTCGAGAAATTAATGTGGAATTCACGTATAGGAATATTAAATTGAGAAAATAATACGAAAGTCACAGCTGAACCATAAACGCAGCCATTGTTCCGAACTCTAGAAGCCGAGTGCGTCTATCGTCAAGGGTGGCTCGTAGGGGTAGTGGTTTACGACCGTATTATTCCACGAGTGAGGAAGTAGATGATAATGCAACGAATTATTCGTGAACCTGAATTTCACTTGTTGTATTATCCACGTACTATTTACTGCACGTAAAATTTATAAACTGTGGTTTATGATGTTTGAAATCATTTCGAACAGAGTTTTTATGAAGCAAAAATATCTTTATCTCCATAATACAGCTAGTCATAAAAATATTCGGAGTAGAACATGATGCTATCAAAAACATAATAGACAAACAGAAAGATTTAAAGCACGTATAAAAAAGTTGAATAAAATGTGAAATATAAGTGTGATGGATATTCAAAGAATTTTTATGTTTATTAATAGATAAATGAAAATGTGTGTTATCATTACCTATTATCTTTATCGAAAGTTATTCTTCCTTAGACTACAATTTCAAAATCTATTAAAAATTTATGAGATACTTTGAATCGAAGAATGAGTATAATACTGATAAAGGATAACCTGTGTAAAGATTAAAAACTGAATGCGAGTGAACTTGAAAACAATTACATATTTTTGTTATGTCTAAACAACTATGATTTATGGTAAAGGTGAAAGTTACTAGTAAGTATCAAAATTATTAACATTAATTATAAACGATTTTTATTATAAGCAGAATATAAGTTTTTTATGTTATTCATACGGTTTTGTAACGCGATAATAGGGTACGACCTCACTTAATCTTAAAGATTGTATAATTATTTCAGTTTGGTTATATAAGTAATGCATATTTGTAAATTATAATAAATAATCAGTGCAAAAGAATTATTTGAAATTTATCCCTTTCGTAGTAAACAAATGTGTACAATATCAAAATGAAATGTAATTTATTGTCAGATTACTTTTGTTTCTTATTGTATGACATGATTCTTTTCATAATATCTTTATTGTTTTTCACGGTTCACATATGTATTATTGTGTTATTGCAATTAGCTAGACAAATCTTAGATACAAATGATATAGGAATAAAATATTTATTTTTACTAGCTTATCATAAGTGTGATTATTATAAAGTAATGTAATAAAATCTTCATATATTGAAGTTACAGTAGAACCTCGATTGCCCGACTTAACTGAACAACTAACTATCTAGATAAATAAATACTTCATTGAAATCCTATTGTATTTGAAAGTTTTTATTTTATAGAAGTATTGTCATAAATAAAATATGTTTTGATTTCTTTTAATACGATTTAAAGCATGACTGAACGTACGTACTTATATGTTATATATACAGTAATAACGGACGTTGCGAATATCTAACACGATAATTTAACTTTCTATATGTAGCCAGTAAGAAAATAAAGACATTACTTCTCTTATCATACATAAGTATATATCTAAATACGTACTTACATTAATAGATTTGCTTAATTATTCTTCTCATGCATGTTATGTTGACATATAAATGCCATTGAAAAATGAAAAATAAATATAGACAACAAGAAATTCGTAATTTTACTGAGTTTATTAGTAATTACCATCACTAGTTCTTTTTTTTTAATAAAAAGTTTACTGATTTGCCTCTAATACCTTTAAATATGTTTATATTTACGTATAAAATGGAAACGACAAATCTCATGGTCTGACTTTTAATATGTACGATGTGAGATATTGAATTCTGAATCGTAGCAGTCACTTTTACAATTCTATGGCTACTGCCCATCGCGTAGTCATGGAAGCGATGTTCTATGTCATGGCCTGGAGAATTACTGAGCCCAAGAGGGGCGTTCGCTTAGCAGACTCATTGAATATTACGTCGTTTAGCGTATCTGGGGCCAGGAAGCTAAAAGCACACGTGTTTGCAAAAAACATTTCGTAATACATTAATCTTGAGTATTTGAAGTTTTATGATACTTTGATGACAATTTGAAATGCCGCATACATTTATGTACTATTTACAAAATAACAAATTTCTATATTATAAACCTCACTAATATTAATCCCTTGACCTACAATATCGTGTCAAATTCGTGACGAAAATTTTCAAATAAATTTGAGAAATCCAAGTGTGATTTTTGTTTAGATATAAATTAAATATTACTTATCTATTATCAATCGTTAGGCTCCGGAGTAAAAGTAAATATATAATAAGCATTAAAACTGTTTCGTTTCCTAGTAAATTATTAACGATAAAGTAGTTGTATCGGTCACAGTTCAGAAATAAATCATAGGGCAAGGGGTTAAGTAAACAGTTAAAATATGTATAAAATGTTTCTAAAATAATTTTAACATAGTTTTCGATATCAACCACTGTCATATTAAATTACTAATGTAGTTATTGTACTTATGTCCACTTATTCTTTTATCATGTAGAATAGTTTCTCGCTGATTGTACAACTGTCCTTCATAAGGTTAACCAAATTCTACAAATTTTTAATCTGGATATCTTTAATAAAAAGATCTCAAACGAAAATATTTTATTCCAAGTTTTTCTTTTCATTTTTGCATCTACGTTCATCCACTGTCTCACCTCACTACATTATATGAAGTATATATATAAATTAATAAATAAAATACTAGTAGAATAATATTTTCTCGTAACTCGCATTCGAAAAAGTTGAATTTGAATTTTAACTAAATTCGCCTCCTTTCTAATTATACAACTCTGTATTTATGTATATTTATTTAATCCTACATTAACGGGTTAACATAGGGTGATTCTAAATAATAACGTAGGCCCCAGTCTCATTTAAATTGCCAAATACCTATATTGTCAATTGTTTTTAATAATATACTGAGTCTTACAGATGCCTATTTAACTATTCTTCGTATATGTAATTCACCTTCATAAATAGATTGTGTTTTATTAGGTATCAATGTTATTAATACGTTCGCTGCCAGCGCTTATTTCGGTGACGATTTGCTCAATTATAATATTTTCTTCAACCTAATAAATCTTCTAAACAAAATCTTAGAAAAAAGGAAACTGAAACGAGTCATTGAGTTCCTAGATATAATGTCGTAGTTTATAATTTCTAATAACAATATCTATAAGGTTAATTTCATTTGCATTATGTAATATATAGGATTACGGCCGTCACAAATATGTGGCGCTGGTAGCGAACGTGTTAATGTAACAGTTCTTTCAAAAAAAGTGGGCCATCTCTGCCCGACTTACCCTATGTTCTTCAACATGCTCGAGGCGTTTAAGATATTGATAAAGGAAAAAAAATTGAGGACATAAAGAGTTGAAGTATGAGATATTTGGCACGAAGTGTCATGTATACTGACGAGTTATTTTTGTCTGTCAAGTAGGCCTGCACTTGCGGAGCATCGAGGAGCCGAGGATGACGGCGGAGACGGCAGCTCCTTGTGTACAAGGGGTGCAAGGGGTGCAGAGCGTTATGGCAGGTCAGGGCACACTGCAACAGGTGCAAGATGGAAAATCCACCGGTGGTTACTATTCTTCGACTTCGGCCATGTACGATCCGGAATACGCTCGCATGGAAGCCTGGCTCGACGAACATCCTGATTTCGTCAACGATTACTTCCTCAGGTTACTACTATTATATCAAATTTTGTGGCCTATGTTACGTGTTCCCATACATGAGATCGGTTTTTGTCTTATTTTAAATAAAAAAAGTCATACAATGAACATTGGATAATTGTAACATTCGATGGGACTGAAAGGTTGCAATTATGAAGACGTAAAACCGAGTCCACCCCAAGAAACGAAGATTTTAGCATGCCGGGTATAGACACGGACAACGTGAGTGGAAAAAAAATAAAGACTGACCAGGAAAAGTATCAAACCCGGAAATCATGATACTTTGTCTAAGTAGAGTAAGTTAAGTCTAATGCATTGCAATTCTTTTTGTGCCAAATTTCAGTTTGAAGAGGTGAAGCCACCCCTTGAAAACATGTATATTTTTCTTTTTCGTAGTTTATCTTCAAAACCGTAAAAGCTACCGAACAAAAGTTCCAACAAAAAATACATTGTTTCTTCACGTCTATAAAATTTTATTTTACAGTTTTATAGGTGTGAAAGAACAACGTATTTTTCGTTTCTATAATACTTTTGTTCGCTATCTCTTAAAGTTTTCAAGATAATCTACGGGAAATAATTTGGATTTTTTTCAAAGGGTGGTTTCACCTCTTCAGACTGAAATTTGGCACAAAAGGAAAATTGCAATGTATTGGACTTGACTTTCTCTATTTATAAAACATTTCATAATTTTTTTTCAATTTTCGGGTTCGATACCTTTCCTTACGAGAGTCGGAGCGTTCGGCAACATTAAAGACTCGCGATGAGTTTGAGATCTTTAACTCAAAAATCAACCCTTTTTATTTTTAACTTTTGATGAACGCAACTTTCACCAGCATGTTTGTTATATTTTTCTGATTAAAATGACACTAAACACGATAGAATTAAGATCATAAGGGCTTGTATAATAAGCGACTGAAGTTTCGGAAATAGAAAAAGGCTGTGAATAGAAAAGAAAAAGACATTGAAATCGTCGAGTTCGACAATAGTCGGATCATGTTAAATACGCCCTTCAACTACGGTTGTCGAGGGCTATGCTGTGTTAAATATTAACTTTCTAAAAAGCACAATAAGAAGTAATTGTACAAAAATGGAGATATTAAAACTTGTCGTATGTCTTTCTTTTTTATGCTTGAAGCTTATTTTCGAAAGCAACATTACTTATGTGATAACTTAATTAATGGAAGCTGCTAAAATAATGGTAGTGGGTTCATAAAATTCTATACGTAATTGTGAGTTGAAATTTTATTTAAACAGTTTGAAAATTCGTGAGCTGCTTCTTCATATAAAAATAAGTACTGTTATTATTATTTATATATAACATACTTATTTAAACATAGCTTTTTGTATATTACAAAATTTTTGAAAAGTAAATTTACTACTAACAACGTGGAGGAGAATTGTATACGTAAGAGGCACTGATTATTAATATTCTACTTACGTGTTCCTTTATTTATCGTCATTAACTAGAATTTTGTGATTTCTTATTACTTGTGTACGTCACGTTGATGGATTATTATTTATCGTTGCTTATCATATATTATTTGTTTACGCACTATCGCATGTTACTTTATCTTCTAACAACATCGTATATATCTTCACTAAATTATAATAAGTTATCAAAATATCTTTTCGTTGTGATGACACAAAACATGGAATGAGTAATTATACATAAAATAATGCTAACCACTGACTTCGATGTTCTCGAAATATGTTGTCGGGATGTGATTTTCGACTTCTCCCTATAGATGTATGTTACTATTCTTCAGCTTTAGTTCTTGAAATATTCGCAAAAATATATAAAAAAATAAGTGCCACGTTTCTAATGTTTTTCTTAGTTTATTAAGTTCTATGTAACATTTATGGTAAGCACTTACATGATTTTCAGCAATTAGAAACTATTATGATATGTATGTTATAATTATATTCCTAACGTTCGAAATATGTTCGTATCAATTATGTAGTTTGTATACATAGTACATACTATTAAGAGATCATTTGATGGCTAGGCTGAGGAATGTGGTTGATCGATCAATTTTTCATTTCTTCTTAACCAATTTTCTGTTGGTTTCATTTCTTAATTCCTGGTATTTTGAATCACTAATTTACTATCTGTTATACGGTCATAACCAACCGAAACTATAAAAGTGTAAATTATGAAGACACCTCTTGCCACTGTGCAGTCTCTCTAGACATTAAGTCTAGAGTAAATAAGTACGTAAATACAAGTCTATACTATACAGGGTCCGTCAGCAAAATCCAGACAAAATAAACAGTTCATTGAAACACTTGTTTATTTAGAAACATAGTGTATTGAGAAAAACTGCGTGTGCATCAATTCAGGGATTTTTACTAAAACCTATTATTCATTACTATTTTATTTTAAATGTCAACTAATATTCGAAAACAACGAGGCTTATCAAGAAAAAAAGATTATTTTTTATTAAGATAAGCTCATCCTGTGTATTTCTCAAATTTGGCTTTCACAGATTTTTATCTATTCCCAAAATGGAGAATTTCCTGATCGTTGGCAATTTTCGTCAGATAATAAACTGAGAACTACAGTAAGCAGTTATTTCGAGGTACTTCAAGAAACGGATTTCCTGGGTGGCATATAAGTACTGGAACATTGCTGTCTGAAGTACATTGAAGTTGAAGGAGATTATATTGAAAAAGAAAAGTAATTTAAAACCTAAAGTTTTGTGCTTTCATTGTTAGATTACAAACTTTTCAAATTCTACTTCAGTATATATAATTATATATAAGTAGCTCGTAGATTTTATTAAAGCGATTATTTATTGAAGTAAAGTACATTTTAAATTACATTATATTTCAAATTATAATTTTAATACTATAAATTAAATTTCGTAATTATTCTAATTTTATATACATATATACTGGAAGCTAAGTTTATATTAGGTATTTTTTTAATAATAATAATAATTGCAAAAAGTGCCCAGTTACCTTTCTTTTTATGATTACTTGCTGCTGTAGCTGCTCCTACTCCTGCTTCTTCATTCATTTGTTATAATAGAATATTTATTGAATTAAAATTAAATAAACATATATTAAGAATTTTTAGATTTTTTAGAAATCTAGGACAGCAACTATATATATATACATATACATATTTATCATATTTATCAACATGTTTGTATGAAGTAAGACATACAAAGTATAATAGTATAAATTTTCATATTTTCCTTCTTCGAAAATTTGCATTTTCAACAGAAGGCAAAATTTTTATTAAAGTAATTTCTACACGTTAATATTTATTTGAACTGTGTGCTGTAATAAAAATTTCTATGAATTGTGTGAAATCAAACTCCGTGCAAGATGAATAGCAGTAATAAATTACGTAGTAATTGTGTCATTAGCACTGTTTCATATATGTACCAGGAGGTAAGCGTGTTTTGTTCCTGCGGGAAAAAGGGGAAAAAATGTTTAGGTGTCTTTCAAAGAAGTTTGCTTTTCTTTTTGCTTAGCATACATAATGCATAGTGAAAATTTACGTACGGTATGAATGTAAAAAAAGTCTAATTTATGGAACCCGTATAGTGAACAACACATTTCGAATTTAATAGTATGAAATTTAAATTCTCTGTTCCAGCTATAAAGGATACAAAGCAATGTTAACTAATATATCGAATAAAAGGAAATCCTCTTTCCTGGTTCACATTCTTTCTCATTGTTTACATTACTTTTATCTTTTTACAATACTTCATATTTTATCTTTCTTCTGGTTTGTTAAAGAGATTCAATGGTTAAAATATTAAAAATAAGTAATTCTTATGAATTTTTTAAAAGATGATACAACAAATTCTACAAGATTTTTTAGGTTTTTACTAATATTCTTTTTAAGATAATATAAATTTTTCCTTATTTCTGACTATTCGTGTATTCTATAAGGGGCCCTCAGTATAATGTTACTAAAAGAAATGCTTAAACAGTAGTCATGAAATCTATGTAGTTATCGTCTTGTCTGCATCCATAATAAATATCCATAATCATTATTGTTAGTACAAAAAGGATGTGTATTCCAAAAATTATATTTATGATTTTTTGCATATCATTAAAAAAATTCATGTTTCAACATAAACGCACTTGAAGACCTTTTTTTCTTTTGTATATTTTTAGTTTTCTGTGACTCTTGTTTTTAGTCAACTTTTCTGGTAAAACAATCTCAGAGAATATATAAGAAAAAAACGTCATTTTTTAAATTGGAAAATACTCTTAAATCAATTTCGTCAACAATTTTATTAAAAGAAAATACAACTGTAAAAAGTTATCTACTTCATACTATTAATCACTTACGGTCCTGTATCGAGACAGATTCGAAGTACAATTTGCCGTCAGCTAAATAATTAAAGTATTAGAAGATGTATAATACAACTCCATAAACTATTCCTTGAAATAATAAACTGAATTAGACTACAGGGATAACTAGACTGATAAATAACTACATTACTTCTTCCTAGATCTACAGTGGGTAAACAGATTTAATCCATTCAAGATTAATTACACAGCGGGTGTGTAATGGAGTACCTAGCCAAAGAGATCAATCACACACAGTGTGTATATTGATCATGAATTTCTATTATCAAATAGTATTGAAAAGCTAACAATACTAGTTAGTAGTAAAAATTAATGGTGTGCAAAAATTAAAATTTGTATTGGTTTCAACCTAGGACCCCAAAAAGAATAAATAATAGCTCTTGTCTCGAATGGATTAATATTGTTGAGATACGTGGTCTTGATTAGGTTATATAATAAATGTTGTTATATTAGAAAATAAAATACAAAAATACAAATAAAGAAACATCGTTCTTTCAAAGTAAATACTAAGTAAATTTAAAAATTTGAAAAATGACACTAAAAATCCAATATAGTTGAAAATGACAAAAATCAGGTATAGAAACTAAACATCAAAACAGCATTATTCATTTATTTTCCTATGCGACTCGACCCATTTCCAAACCAGTCAACTGATGTCTATAGCTACTCAATTTTGG